CTCTTTCTCTCTCTTTAAACCTACCTTCTCTCTAAAAATTGATCTACCTAGGGTGAGTATCTAACCTTGGTCCTTTATTAAAAAGATAGAGTGAGTTGGCGATTTGGAGCACATTTGTATTTGGGTATTCATCTCTGTCTTCACCATTTGGGTTGTTTTCTTCGAGGTAGGGATTTCCTACTCGATTTTATAAGTTTTGTTCTAAGTTTTGGTATTTTGATGTGTTGTGGTTACTTTGACGGCTAGAGAGAACTGAGAAAAATAGGGTTTGAAACCCTATTTTAAAAGACCCAAGGTGAAAAGTCAAAACTGCCCCGGTTCAGGCATTTTTAGCCGGTCGGCTACATTTTTGGCCGGATCTTATGATTACTGGCCAGTTATGTATTTTGATATGTTGGGGATACTTTGGTAAGTTTTGGGAAAAACCCTAGTTGTATTATTAAATTAATTCGTGGAATTGGGAAAAGATGGTTAAATTCATGAAATTGGGAAATTTATTGATTAAACGGTGTAGTTGGATAATTTAAATCACTCGCCTATTGAATTGTTGTTATATTTATTTCCAAATCTAGAAATAACTGTTTTGGGCTATCGGTGGAGGATAGTCGTGATTATTGTAGACATTGCATGTGGATTAGGGATAACTGAAACTAATCACATTGGTTGAGTCGTTCATTTTGACTGCTGAATTGATACAGACATTATGTGTATTAATTGTGTGTTATATGTTATGTGTTTACATACATTGTTTTGTGTGGGAGGAGATAGGGGATGTACTCCACGGTTTAGGGGAAGATAGGGGATGGACCTCTAAACCGGAATTTGTTTGCGAGGAGATAGGGGATGGACTCCATTAGCATCACTTTTATGTGTGCTTATTTATATAGAAGTGTTTTATTTGATACAGCACTAAAATGTGTATCAATCTGGAAGTATGAAGTGTTTTGAGTTGAGCTTGAGTCTCATTTGTTTGTTGACATTGGAAGAATGTGAATATGATATATACATATATATATATATATAATTCACTATTGTAAGTTTGGCCAGGTTCTGAGCCATATTGATAATGTCGGAAAGTGAAACGTGTCGTTGACAATAGTGTCATGAGATTCGATAATGATGTAATTGATTATCTTTGTTAACCATCTATTGAATGATATTGCTTTATTCAATGCTTATATTTGGTTTAGTATATTTCTACTGGGCTGTGGCTCACCCTATATGGGAACATCATTTTCAGGTTCAGGTGATAAGCTACCTCCAAGGACATAGCTTGGAAGGACTTGGATTTTGAAGATTATTTTTAGTTATTTGCTTTCATTTGTTAGTACATGTAAACATACAAGCCTAGGGCTTTATTTGTATTTGAGTTAGAACTCATACTTTTGTGTCCAAGTGTTGGCTTGGAAACATGTAAGCCTGTAGGGCATTTAATTTGATGTTACATGTAATGTTTTTGTTTAGTAAGACTCTGATGAATATTATAATGAACTGTTTCCTTTTTAAACATTGCATGTTGATGTTATATATATTTAATGGGTTTATTTTCGAGGGCGTTACATTGTGCACCCGCATCGTAATATTTTTTGCACCTCACTCTCACTGTCTTGTGCACTCACTAGGTCTAGGAGACCTTAAATCCTCTAAAGGTGCAATTCCTTTGGTGTTTCTCTTGCCTGAATGGCTTCAAGCGGTTTGGCATAGCCACCTGACTATGTTTATAGTGAGTTCCTAGGAGATCAACTGAGATAGTGGAAACTAAAGTTTTAATGGCTGAGGCCTAGAAGGCAAAGGTTCAGAATTTCCAAGACTAAAGTCTGGTTTGAATACTCAGATGTATATCCTCAGCTTAAAATCTGTATGGCAGCCCCATAAGTTGAGATAACTTGTATGCGCCTAAATTCTGGATACTGAACCAACCTAATCTGTCACCCTGTTGGAGAATAAGGAAAGTTGCAAACATAGCCAGGGAGAAAAGTAGTACCCTTGGTTTGGAAGTGCAAGATGAAGGAAGAAGTTTTAAAACTAGGAAGAAGAAGAAGAAGATCCCAAGTAGCATAAAGTGCGTCATCGCTAGTTGCCCCTGTAAGGTTCTTTTTAAAGCTCCACTTTCCAACTACTACATCATATCTATCATTTAGGACCTCTATCGCATTACATATAGCATCTATCGCATGTACCTACTACACCATCCATTACATCCATTACATCATACCATTTTATTGCCTGCATCTTTTCCATGTTAAGCTTAGTTTAGCATGTGCTCATACCTTTCTCACATTGAAACATAGCTCTGTATATGTACACACATATTCTGCAAGAATTGTGGTCTGAGGGTGTCGGCATCTTTTCTATGTTAGACGTGGTTTGTTTTGTATCCATACCTTTTCTAGGTAAGATGTAGTATAACCTACACCCCTTATTTACTTCATCCATTGCATCTATTGCATCGTACTTTGTCTTGTTACATTCAGCATTTAGGATCATTATCTTTCCCTTTAACTTGACCTATAAGAGCATCTTCAATCATTTACCAAATCATTTTTCAAATTTAAATTTGATAAAAATGTTGGTAAAAATGAGATCCAATCCTTTCATCAAACTTGTATCAAATCAAGAGGGAAGCAAAAATTTCATCAAATCAAGCATGAACCAAATCTTTCACCAAATTTCTAACAATCCCTTTCCCATTTAAGTTTGATGAAATTGTTAAACGATGAAGGATTGGAGCAGGATTTTTTTTCACCAAAATTGATGAAAAGTGAAATTTGGGATGAGAAAGTAATTTTTTAAAAGATTTTGATGAAAGGATTGAAGTAACTCGTATCAAATCGATTTTTTACTTAAATTTAGAATCAAATTAGATGAAAAAATTAATAAATGTTTGAAAATGCTCTAAAAGAGTTGAATTTTAATCACACATTATTTTGTAAATATATTAATGCGCATGAATTATATGCACATATCATTGATACAAACACGAAAACACCTATCAATATATTTTTAATTTAAAAATATCACATTATTTTAATTAAATATATAATATTTAAATTATAGAAGAGTGGTATTTTTTCCAACCTAATTTTTAATGGACTCAGACTCTCTTCAATCTACTATGTGGATTGAACCGTGTTGTTCGGGTTCATGAGGTCCACCATAGGTCCTGTTTCAATAATCTGAACTGTTCAATATGTAAAGCTTATCGATTATTTCATTCTTGTAAAAAATCGCATTGATCGGATATTGATAGCTACTTAATTGAATCTGATTTCTGTTAACAATTTATTTTGAAAATCATGTTTACCATTGACAGAAATATGATTTAATCAAGTGGCTATCAATATTCGACTAATGTGATTTTTTGCAAGAATGGAGTGTTTGGCGAATTCTATAAATTAAACTGTTCAGATTATCGAAATAGGACACGTGATAGGCCTCCATGGATCCAACAATACACTCTAGTACGATATTGGACTTGAAAGAAGCCCAACCCATACTTAATTAACTGTAAAGATATCACTATCACGTTATTTTAATTAAATATCTAATATTTAAATTATGGAAGAATGGTATCTTTTCCAACCTAATACTTAATTAATATGCTAATCTTTCGGCTCGAATGGTGGCCCATTTTACTAAACTACTTGTAAAATTAGAAGATACGCAAATGACATTCCTAATGAATTGCCCAGATAATTGGAGAAATTTTTGTTTGCTAATAGGATATTACGTACACTACATGAAAACACATTTTTGGTGACCAGTTTTGGCTACCAAAACAAATTTAGTCGCCAAAAGTGTGGGAATTGGCTACCAAATTAATTTTAGTCGGCAAAAGTCAACTTTTTAGCTACTAATTTTTTTTAGTAGGGGAATGTTGATTATTCGCAACTAAAATAAATTTAGTAGCTAAAAATATTACAATTGGCCACTAAAAAAATTTTTAGTAGCTAAACATATACTGTAGACCTACTTTTGCCTACTAAATTGTTTGGTAGCCGAATGAAAATAAAAAAATTTATTTTTGATCTTTGGCGACCAAAAGTTTGGTCGCCAAAAATATGTTTTCAGCGACAAAATTCAGCCTACTAAATTGTTTGGTAGCCGAATGAAAATAAAAAAATTTATTTTTGATCTTTGGCGACCAAAAGTTTGGTCGCCAAAAATATGTTTTCTGCGACAAAATTCATTTTAAACGTTGTAGGCCTACTTTTGCCTACTAAATTGTTTGGTAGCCGAATGAAAATAAAAAAAAAATATTTATTTTTGATCTTTGGCGACCAAAAGTTTGGTCGCCAAAAATGATTAAACAAAATAGTTATTTTATTTTTATTTTTATGAAAAGGTTGTCAAATCTTAACAACGTTGTTCATAAACATTGTTAACAATGACATTTTATCCACTTGAAATTTGACTTTCTTTTTTTTTTTAAATGAGAAAAATAAAATTGAAAGAAACTTCTTTTTTAAAAATAAAAATGAAAATGAAAATGAAACATGCTTATTAATTAAATAAAAATGAATTCCCATTAGTAGTAGGTATATGAATAAAACAATCAGATTTATTGAATTAAGTGGTAAAAGCCAGTTGGCTTTATTAGGCTATCATCTTCTAAATTAATTTGAGGTTTACTTTAATATAATAAACTAGTTACAACTGCATAATAAATTAATTAAATCCACTTGACACATGATTTCTTCACCTGTCTTTATCTATGACAAAATATACATATTGCATGTTCTAAAATTCTAAATCAAATTGATTAGTGCCTAGTTAGTCATGCAGGAGTCCCAAAAAAAATTAAGTATATTTTACAATATCTATATAATAAGACAGAACGGTTTTTGAAAATATGTTAGAGACAATTGTCCTACTAAGACATTTCAATGACTATGATTCATTTGTCTATTTAAATAGATGGCTGAGATGACCCCCTTAAATATATATCAATCCCCTTCCAGCACCACTGTTACATATCTGTTCCGTTTGGGAAGTTCAACCTAATGAAGTAATGATGGTTGGGGATAACCTTAAAGATGATGTGAGTTTTGCTCTATTTCTCTCTCCATCATTTGCACCATATTTGTTAAGAACATTTCTGATTCATTTTGAGGTGCTGTTTTTGTATATATATATTTTTTAATTTCACATTCTTTTATCAAATTTGTTTGAAACAAAACATGCTTTTGTGTAAATTAAAGCTCCTTTACTTGGTCTTTGCAGGTTGCTTGTGGGAAACGAGCGGGAGCATTTACATGCTTGCTTGACAAAACAGGGAGGTATGATTCTCCCGAATACACAGGTGTGGAATTTAAGCCAGATTACAAGGTGTCTTATCTTGCCCATGTTCATTCACTACTGGAAGCAAATTTTGACCTAACACCATGATCCACAATTTCCTTGACAATAAAAATTTGCATTGTTAAATTGAGTAGTATTGAGATTCTCAGACCATTTATTATTTGGTGGATACACCTATTTTTGATCCTGTGAAGAATTCATAGGAGAAGCTTTGTGAAGTACGGAGACAGGAAATTACCAAGGAAATATTGTGTATTTGAAAGACAGAGATCTTTCTTTAGTTTAGCATCTTATGGTAGTGTTGATATGCTGCACAGTCATCGAATATATAGGTTTCCTTGCCAAAGTACTCTTGGATAGATTTCCTGCACATCTTTGTTTGTTGTTATCATTGTATTATGAGGCTAGCTGTTAATGCTTTGTTTGTGGGATGTAAGATTGTTGTTGTATATCTATATGTAATACTTTTGACCCATTTTATAATGCGATTTCTTTCTCCCTTTGGTGCAATGCAATGCATATTTTAAAATTACAGTGAAGTTTATATGTTTATTTTTGATGAAATGATGAAATAATGTGGCTACGGTTATTTTGATTCTTTTTATGTCTGATTTATGATTTATACGTAGGGATTTACAAAATGAACAATTTAGATCACTTGAGTGAGACTTGAGGTGAGGCTTATAGCAAGACTGCATGCCTGATCCACTTTTATAGACTACAGGCAATCCTGATGATAATTGACCTTAATTTTGATGATGACAGTTTGAATTAAAGAAGATAATAAGTCAATTTTCTTTAATCTCAAATATTCTTATATTTCAAGTCACTCCGTCCGTTGCACCACCACAAAACTTAGGCACAATGCAGTGTCCTGATTACATAAAATATTCAAAATCTGTAAAATTAGTGTCTCCCTTCATCGCTAGAAAGAGTTCATGCAGCATTTCATAAATCCTCTCAGAACAAGGGTGGATTTTATCAGCAACATAACAGCTGTGAGTTTCGCTATTAATATATCTCTACAAATGTGTGTGTATATGTATGAGGAATTTGGGGATCCTAGAGAAGAGAAAGAAGAAGAAAAATGAAAATCACGTGTCTCTGGAAATGTGTATATATATATATGTATGTATATATCAGTCGATCTATGTATTGGAGAGAAGTGAATTACAGAGTTGGGAAGAGAAAAGCAGACAAGATCTTGATCACAGTTGACCGTTTCAAATGAGATAAAAAAATTACTAACAAATGAATGAAAACTCATTTTAGGAATAACAACTCATATGAGAAAATAAATATTAAAGAGTTGTTTCAGATTTGCTTATTTAGTGTATTTTTTAATTTTTTTTATAAAAAAATGTGTAGAAAAATAGAAAAGGGATGAGACATAAATAAGTATACTCATCAAATAAGTGGAATTATTTAGATTATTCCTGAACAGGAGGGTTTTTGAATCTTCAATATATTATTTAGTATACTAAGACATTTGAACAGCTCAGATCTGTTCAAATTACAAAACGGCAGTGATGTATGCTATGTGTACATTTTTCACTTTCCCATTTTTTTCTCTTACTTTTTCTTTTTCTCTTTCTCACCCACCTTTCCCATTATCTCATAAATAATCCACGAATGATCCCATGATTCCACATTCTTCATTTTCTTTTTTATTTTATTTTATTTCCCCCTTTCCTTTTTTTCCTCCCTGTTTATTTATTTATTCACTTATTTTAATTTACACCGTGCCTTCAGGCACGGGCATACACTAGTAAGAATATAAGAGAATATAATTTTTTTTTAAAATATAAGAATATAAGCAAACATAAGAATATAAAATATAAGAATATAATATTTTAAAATATATCTGTCATAAAATTTTAAAATATAAGAATATAAGCAAACATAAGAATATAAAATATAAGAATATAATATTTTAAAATATATCTGTCATAAAATTTTAAAATATAAGAATATAAGCAAACATAAGAATATAAAATATAAGAATATAATATTTTAAAATATATCTGTCATAAAATTTTAAAATATAAGAATATAAGCAAACATAAGAATATAAAATATAAGAATATAATATTTTAAAATATATCTGTCATAAAATTTTAAAATATAAGAATATAAGCAAACATAAGAATATAAAATATAAGAATATAATATTTTAAAATATATCTGTCATAAAATTTTAAAATATAAGAATATAAGCAAACATAAGAATATAAAATATAAGAATATAATATTTTAAAATATATTATTAATAAAATTTTAAAATACGACGAAAATAATTTTTGGTCGGTAATAAATATTTTTTTCTTTTATTTTCATTGCAAAAGTATTCTATTTCCCTCCCTCTCGCACTCCCGCCTCTATCACTGTTCTGTCTCCATCGCAAGAGTTGCTGTATCATCCCCTGAACTCCCTCCCAGGTATCTCCCTCTCTCTCTCTGTATCTCCCTCTCCATTTCTTAAACATCTCACAAGGCCTCTCGGTTTCCCCCTCTCTCTCTCTCTCTCTCTCTGTTTACACACACACACACACATACATGCATATATATATATATATATACACACACACACACACACGAATCATATATTCACAACCTTGATTCCATATATACTCGATTATATACACAAATCATATGTACACTCACGCCTCTGCCCTCTTTTCTACAGGAATAGTCTCCATCGCTCGAACTCCCCCGAACTGGATCATCCCCCGAACTCCCTCCCAGGTATGTTTGAATTTCGCATCTGTCTCTCCCTCTCTCTGTATCTCCCTCTCGATTTCCCTCTGTTTCTATTTGTCTCTGTTTACACACACACACATACATACATATATATATGTCAAAACACACAGAATATGAAGTACGAAATGCCCTCAATTAGGGCATTGTTATTGAGATGTGATTCAAATTAAAAATAAGGGCAATGCTTGGGGTGAATCAAGCCATTTGCTACATAAACTAGGGCAAAGTCTTGTAGTAGTAGTACATATAAAAGAGGAATTTTTATGGTTTTGAGTAAATATACTAGCTGCTCGTCGCTTTTGGATGCGGGCATTGTTATTGAAATGTGATTCAAATTAAAAATTAGGGCAATGCTTGGGGTGAATCAAGCCATTTGCTACATAAACTAAGGCAAAGTCTTGTAGTAGTAGTACATATAAAAGAGGAATTTTTATGGTTTTGAGTAAATATACTAGCTGCTCGTTGCTTTTGGATGCCTCGGTAAGAATGTTGAGGTACTTAATATATACCTACTGTTCTTCTTCATAGTTGCATTTCCAATGTATGAAATTGATGTAATATGTGGAGGTTGAGAATCTTGAGATATGAATGATTTTAAAATCAACAAATGAATAAGTATTCACACTTGAGGTATGATATTTTGTGTCTTGGAAAAGAGATGCAGTTATCATAGTTTTGGTAAAACAAGGGCAGGGATTAGATTGTCCTTGTAGATTCTTCGGCTGATGTTGTGTTCTTGAATGAACATATAGTAGTAGCTTGGTACCCATGGATCATGACTTTCGATCTGTTGGCCTAGCTGTGTATGCTTTTTTTTTTAAAAAAACATTTGGTGTCACTGTGCATTTTAAGTTAAAATATGCTTGTAGAATATAATAATATTGTAAGTGAACATTCAGGGAATTGACTAACTAAAATAATTTCTTCAGATTAAATGGATTTTATTTTCAATGTACTTGTGATTAGCTACATTCATCCTTTGTCCTTGACCTTAGTTTTTTGTTTTTGGGTTTTAAATCATGGGTTGCATTTCTTAGTTTTCCCTCTGGTGCCTTTGAGACTGGGTGCAATTATTGATCTTTTTGCTTATGAGAAATATATCTTCGTTGACGTTCTCTAAAGTCTTTCTGAGATGCATTCATATTTTAATAATCATCTCTTGTATTTCCAGTTGCCGCATATCTTTCGCAATGCTATGGAATTTTTTCCATAAAAAATCATTATGTTCTTGCTGATCAGAATATTTAATTCAATTTTCTGGAAATTTATTTTTGGTAATCTGAATGGGGTGATGTAAATCAGGTTCTGAATGGTTTCTATGCAAGAAATTGTCGACTAACATGTGAAGTCATAGATCTTTGAACACTTCTCACACTTCCATTTCTTTTCCCCATGTTTTCTGGCAAAAGTGTTTCTTGATTCCATTGAGATCAACAAGAGCCCTTCAATGATTGTTGTGCACACAACTAGGCTTAGGGCACACATAGTGCTTTATGTTATCTTCGCTTTATCTTTGCTTCAGCGTCCATGGAAGGTTCTGTCCTCTCCTTTGAAGCTGCAAGTTTTTATCTCTCTAAAACCCCACCTTGTGTTTTGTTTATTTCATTTTTAAAATTTTTAGAAATGGTCATTGGATGTGCAACGATTGATTTCAGCCATTGCAACAATACATAGCTCATGTGTTTGCATCGATGTTGTACATTTTGCTTTTACTGCCTCAACCTCACGAGTACCCACGAGCCACTGCTTTTTTTAATAAATAACATGTCATGCACACACACTGTGAAGAGCATGAAAATGATGAAGATGGATTAATGGCTTAACTTCCATAATTACGCATTGTTTTAGAACAAATCGTGTCACAAAGTCCCACCCTAAAAGAGATTTATGTGACAAGCCAAACAGTGAATGAAAAACAACATAATCTATCTCAACTTGAAATGCGTGTTCATATTTGTTCCTTGGTTAATCTTTGTGTGAGTTGTAGGTGACAAAATGGACAAGAGTTGGATGACGATAAATAATAGGCTGACAAGTAAAGAGTATCAACAAGGGGTGAAGTCATTCCTTGATTTTGCTATGGCAAATTTAGGTGCAGAGGATGACATTAGGTGTCCATGTGTCGATTGCATTAATGGCACAAAATATAGCAGACAAGTTGTATGGATGCATTTGATCCGAAGAGGAATGGCATCTTCGTATTTAACTTGGGTGCATCATGGGGAACATGTTCCCGTGTCTCGTCTTAGTGCATCCAATGACCAATGTGGAGGTAGTGGTGAATGTATGATAGATATCGATGATCCACCCATGGATGAGTTGCCTATTATGTTGGAAGAAATTTACGTGAGCGGTCTTATGGATGATCATACCGACGAGGAACCTAATGGTTTGGAGAGGGAGGATTTGCATAAGTTCACTAGGTTATTCGAAGATGCACAACGCAAAGTTTACCCGACATGTGAAAAGTTTTTTGTGCTATCATTCGTCATTAAGATGCTTCATTTGAAGGTGTACAACAAATGGAGCAACCGATCATTCGATATGGTTATGCAAGTATTCAAGGACATTCTACCAGAATGTGATCAAACAGTTCCATGGACACTCTATGATGCTAAAAAGTTCTTACGTGACTTGGGTTTGGGATATGAAACAATTCATTCGTGCAAAAATGATTGTGCACTGTTTTGGAAGGAGAGTGGTAATTTGGAGAAATGCCCTACATGTGACGCATGCAGATACAAGTTGAACGATGATGGTGGTAAAAAGATTCCACACAAGGTATTACGGTACTTTCCATTGACACCGAGGTTGAAAAGACTGTATATGTCCAAAAAAACAGCCGTAGATATGAGATGGCACAACGAGAAGCGTGTGGATGATGACATATTAAGGCACCCGGCCGATGGTGAAGCATGGAAGGACTTTGATAAGCAACATCCGACGTTTTCTGATGACTCTCGAAATGTAAGGCTAGGGCTGGCAACAGATGGTTTCAATCCATTTGGGAATATGAGCACATCATATAGCATGTGGCCCGTAATCTTAATGCCTTACAATCTCCCACCGTGGAAGTACATGAAAGAGCCATATTGCATGATGTCATTGCTTATTCCCAGACGTTCGGCACCTGGAACAGACATTGATGTTTACTTGCAACCATTAATAGAAGAATTGAAGAATTTGTGGGAGCATGGTGTGCAAACATATGATGCATCGAATGGGCAAATTTTTAGAATGCATGCGGCGGTAATGTGGACCATAAATGACTTCCTTGCGTACGGTAACATGTCAGGGTGGAGTACAAAGGGTTACTTGGCTTGCCCTAATTTTAACAATAATCCATCGTCCCAGGGATTACGAAGTAAAATAGGGTATATGGGTGCTTGTCGCCACTTGCCTGAGAACCACACCTGGCAAACAAGTAAGCTCTTCAATGGTCAAACGGAGCATAGGTCCAAACCTTTGGACTTATCGGGGGACCAAATACTAGAGCAAATTGATTCTGGGACTTACAAGCCGTATGGAAAGCACCCACAAAATCGAAAATGACAAAGGAATGAACATCAAAATTTGAATTGGAGCAAGAGAAGCATTATGTTTGACTTGCCCTATTGAAAAACATTGAAGCTTCGACACAACCTTGATGTCATGCATATTGAGAAGAACATGTGTGACAATGTTGTTGGGACACTTTTGAGCGTAGATGGAAAGAACAAGGACACGGACAAAGCACGCTTAGATTTGGAGGACATGAAAATACGTAACGAGTTACACTTGAAGAGGCGTTCTAATGGGTCCTTTGAGAAGCCTCCCGCATTGTACACATTGTCGGTGAAAGAGAGAGAAGGCTTTTGTGATTTCTTGAAATCTATGAAGTACCCTGATGGCTATGCAGCAAATATCTCCAATTGCATGACCGCTCAAGCTGGAAAATTATCTGGCCTCAAAAGTCATGACAGTCATGTCCTTATACAACGACTTCTTCCAATTGGGATGCGTGGCTACCTTAATAAGGAAATCGGAACGACACTTTTTGAGTTGGGAAATTTCTTCAAACAATTGTGTTCAAAGACATTGAGGCGTTCAGATTTGCATAAATTGGATGAACAAATCGTACTCATACTTTGTAAGCTTGAGATGATTTTCCCGCCGATTTTTTTCGATGTCATGGTCCACTTGGCAATTCACTTGCCTCGAGAGGCTATGCTTGGAGGCCCAGTGCAATATTGATGGATGTACCCAATTGAGAGGTATTAACTCAGCCATCGTATTACTGTCAAATTTAAGTTAATGCTTTACTGTTGATATAAATATTGCAGTATAACATTGCCATCGGCTTGCAAAATTAGGTTGCTTGGTCGTCTAAAAGGGTTTGTGGCCAACAAAGCTCATCCTGAAGGTTCTATTGCCGAGGCTTACATTTCCAAAGAATGTACAACATTTTGTTCAATGTATTTGGATGGAGTTGAAACATTGTTTAACCGCCCAACAAGGAATTATGACATGGGTGACCGTGGCCCAGGGTTGGCGGTATTCACTCAAACTGTACGTCCCTTTGGTCTAATGACAAGGGCGTCCGGTGTGTCCGTAGCTGAACGCGAGTTGGCTCATTGGTTTGTCCTACACAATAGCACAGAAGTGGATAAACACGTAGAGTATGAATCCTTCAAACGTATTCAAAGTGTTTTTGTTGTAAATTGATTAGTCTTTATCTTAGTAAATATTTTTGAATCGCATTTCTTATAACTAGGGAGCACAAGAACTTGTTACACCAAAGAGCCGGTGCGTTCGACATCGAAAACAGACATCAGAAAGAATTTCCTAAATGGTTCAAAGATCATGTAAGTTAGCATTCTCATATCCTACCACAGATCGTACATTATGTAAATGTCACGCATGCTAGTAACATGACACATGTTCTTCATGTAGATGAATGAATTGCGGAGTCAAGTTTCCCTCGAAGCAACTGATGATATGTGGTCATTAGCCAATGGTCCTAGTGGCTTAGTGAACACATATTCAGGATGTATTTGTAATGGTGTCCGTTATCATATTATCGACCGTGACAACCGTCGAAAAAGTCAGAATTGTGGATTAGTCGTGGAAGGGGAGCATGAAGGTCCTCAACCCCCGAAGAACTTCCAAAAAACCTTCTACCCCAGCAAGGATTTCAAGAAGCTGCTGGACTTGCCTGTTAACCAGCGCAAGGCTTCTTTGCTTCTGAATTTCATCCCGACTTACAGATCTGTACTTCCCGACGTCCCAAGGAAAAGCAAGAGCAAGTCTCCTCCATCAGCTACAACTTCTCAAACCGAATCATCAAGGCCTGACCAAGGATCAACATCTGGTTCTTTGGAACAGCAATCAACCTCGGCTCCACAACTAATCCCTCATTCTCAACGCAAACGCCGACGTCGAACCGTAGCTGCCGCCGAGATGGGTCGCAAGAAAGCAGTTGCTGATGATCTTCTGGCTGATATCCCGAACGTCACTACCGTCCAATCTCCATCTTCTTCATCTCAGCCGAAACCAAAGCCAAAAAGGCTGAAGAAAGCCTAAGCTAAGGCAACAGTAACTCAGATTGACACTGAGGATACCTTGCCAATTTCAAAACTGACCGAGAGCGAGAAGTCCTCTTCCGCCGCCGAGAAGAGGCCCGCCGATGCTCTTCCCTCTAAGTCAGCGCGGTCAAAAAGACTGAGGTCTAAATCCACTACAACCTCGGGATCTATGAAATCTGATGCCCCTTGGGCCCCCCCAATCACCATCAAGGACAAACCGGTCAGGGCTAGCGACAACGCCGACGACATTAAAGTCGGCGTTGCCCTCTCTACCGCCTTGCTCCTTCCCAAAGATCTCAATGGCAACGTCGAATTCAGCAAGTATGAAAACTTCGCTCTAATGTTGCAACACTCCGTCCAAGTAAGCCCTTAACACTTGGTACTTTTTCATTTTCTGCTATTTCATACTTCGAGAGTTTTACTAACTTGTTTTTTCCATTTCTTCTCGGCGATCCAGCATGGTCACTCATTTGCAATGCAAGCCTTTGCCATCAAGAAGGAATTGGCCAACAAGACCAAGGAGGCTGCTGGCTTGCAGAAGACCATCAATAAGGCCGAGGCAAAGATGAAGACCTTTCAGGCCGAGGCAGCCAAGAAGGCTTAGGACGAGGTCGAGGAAAAGGTTGATGCTGCAAAGGCCATTGCCAAGGTCCTTGCGGCCGAAAAAAAAGAGACAAATTCTAAGTTTTGACATTTTCCACATTTTCCAGATTTGCAGATTTGGACAAATTCTATGACAGATTTTACATTCTATGAAAATCAAATTTCCAAAATTCAATAGTTTGCTGGTTTACTATGCTGGAAATCTGGAAATGTGAAATATGGAAATTTGAAAATCTGGAAATTCTGAAAATTCTATGACAAATTCTAAGTTTTGACATTTTCCACATTTTCCAGATTTGCAGATTTGGACAAATTCTATGACAGATTTTACATTCTATGAAAATCAGATTTCCAAAATTCAATAGGTCTGCAAATTCTGGAAATCTGGAAATCTGAAATCTGGAAATCTGGAAAATGTGAAATCTGAAAATTTTGAAAATTCTATGACAAATTCTATAGTTATAATAAGAAAATTTGGTGCTCGTCAAATAATTTGGTTTTTGTCCAAATCTGGAAATCACCTTGGTCTGTATCTGCAAATCTGAAAATCTGAAAATCCCTCTGAAATCTGGAAATCTGAAAAATGTGGAAATCTGCAAAATTCTGAAAATTCTATGACATTCAGTTATGTTTTTATGAAATTTTTGTTTTTCTTCAATGTGTTGGGTCTGAAAAATGTGAAGGTTTGTTCTGTTCTGAATTTGGAGCTGTGTGGTGGTCTTTAGCAAGTTCTGTTTCTGGTGTTGAGCCAGGAGTTGAGTTTGGCTGTGGTGCAACCCTCCATATGGTGTGATGATTGTATATCAATAGTATATGGGTCTCAGAAGGTGCAAGCCTCAGACATTACCTGTGGGCCAGGTCATGGAATCAGTTTTGGAAGCTTAGGTTCTGGGAAATCAGTAGGTCATGTATCAGATGTGGTGGTGAATGGAGTCTGGATCAAGACCTGGCAGTCCATTCTTGTGGTTCTGCTGTTGGGTGTTAAGCTGCTTGGCTGCTATGCTGCTGGGTTGTTTGGTGCTTGATTTAGATTCTTCTGCTGGTATGCTGGTGCTAGAGTTAGCTTGCCCCTCTATTGTTTGCTTTGCATAGTTTGCTGGTTTACTATGCTGCTGGTCTGAGGCCTGCTCTCAGTATTGGATTGGTTTTGTTCAGTATTGGATTGGTTTTGTTCAGTTCTGTATTTCTGATATAGTGATAACCAAGGTTTCTTTATGGCAGTTGAAGTTTTATGGTTTTATGGCCATCAATCACATAATGGGCCCAAGTCATGTACCTGCTAAATGTTTTACTGATATGTATTGAGTGTGATGCATGATATAAAACTGGTCCTAGAAAAACGAAAGGAAATGCTTTATTCAGTTTTTCTCTGTCATTCCTGAGATTAGATGGAGTATGAGTAACTATAGCAATTTTCAGTGGTTGTGATAAATTATGCTGCTGAGATAACACAGCAAAATTCATATCCTCTATAATTTTAAAATATTGCATTTTTAAATCTCAAGAGCTGTGATGTAGCAAACTTGATATTGTTAAAATGAATGAGCACTTTGCTATGTCAAAAAACCTTGAGAAAACAATCTTGCATGATTACCAAGTGTGGAAATATGTTACATATCCTGATTCATTTTAGAATGAAAACGAAAGGTGTTTTCATATTCATCACTAGATTAGCTATGTGCTTCCATTGCCTATTAAAATGATTATTTATTTCTACTTTTTGCAGGTATTCTCATCTGATCCAGCTTACAATACCGGAGATTGTAGAGGGATCTAATTGGTTGATTGTAGAGGGACCACCGATCACTGTCTTCTGATGCCAGAGTTCTGTTGTTTGTAAACACTGTAAGTTTCTCCTGTACCGTCACTGTACCAGAATCTTCACAACCAGCCCTTCCTCCTAAGAAGTTGTCTTTCCTTCGACAGCATGAAATCTTGTATTTACCTCATTGACCATTTGCCTTTGTTACTCTTCCTTGCCAATCAATAACTAACTGCAATTATAAATTGGTTGATCAATTTTGGTGTGACATGCTAGGATTATTCTTGTTTTTTTTTGTCCTCTGCTTTCTTAGGTCATGTTGGATCCTGAATAAGATGATGATTGTGGTGTCACTGTAATGATCTAAGGAGGCTTGCAAAATTGCTGATATATGTGATACGCCTTATAAATCTTTGGCTGAGAAATCTTGATATAGGAGTTTACAATGTGTAGACACATTAGTGACCTAAAGGGTTTGTATTGAGTACAGAGTTTGAACCCTCAAAGGACATTCTGGATATGATCGACATATTCACTTTTCTTGGATGCAGATCTCCCTGTGGGTGTGATAAACATGCAATCATATTTATTGGGGGGGAAATCTGGCAATTTGGCCTAGCTTTTGAATTGGGCATGCCACTCTAATGAGCAGTTTGCCATGGCATTTAAACTTTTTTATGCTGATACACTTTAGCTAGACCATTACTGTGATTCTTAGAGACTGGGATTTTAGATGGGAAATTTTGGTATTATTTACTTTGACTCATCTTCTTTCCAGACTAATGGAATTTGTTATAGGCTGTAGAAAATCTCTTATTGTGGTGTTGAACATGATTTTCTTCAGAGGACAATTTTTTTTGATAAGTCTTCAGAGTACACAAATTTTACAGCTCATATTAGTTTCATCGGGGGAAAAAGGCCGAGTCAGTTTGGTTTTTGGTTCATATTTGTACTTTTGACTGATTACCTATTCTGTCATGTACTTGTTAGATCATGATGACAATTTAAATGACTCTTCACTGCAAAGTACATCGAAGTAAGTTCATACAGATGGATCCAAGTAGTGATAGTCTACTATTTTGAACAAAACATGGTAGAAGTTTTAGCAGCGGTTCTCCCATGTGCTTGGATTCTTTTGATGGTAATTCACTCCTCAAAATGGGAGTGATGTTGTCTACTTTCTTGAATGCTCTTTTTCAAGAAGGCTAAATTGGATATTAGAACTACCTTCCAAGTTTTTGAATTGCGTTTGGTTAGTGACTGAGGCACCATCATTTACTCACAGAAAACACACCTGTGGCTCGAGTCACTGCTATTTTTTCTAGTTAATTGTATTTTCTAAATTTGTGTGAGCAAATTGCTATAAAAATAAATAAATAAAAAACAAAAAAAACACTTGGAAGTGTAATGGTGGATGCAGTTTTTGGAGAGAATATGCGTGCCTTTTTTGAAACTCGTGATGGTTACTGGGAAATTAAAGAAAAATTGGTAGAATCTAGCACCCCTTAATATGGTTGGAGGAATCATGGAAGTTGAAGTTGGGTGCCACTTGCAGGAAACTTCTATGGTAGATAAACAGAAAAAGAAAGAGAAATAAGGGGGAAACAAACAGAAAAACTCCTTGTGTAATAAATTTATAGTTTGTCTGTGTTTTTGTCAGTAAAAAAGAAAATAAGTGAAGATTATTCGGGTTTTTGGTCTACAAAAGGTGAGGGATCTTATGTTCCATCTGTTCTCATCCAACAAACCCTGGTAAGTTGCACTTGTTATTTTCTTGTTCTTGGTGTCCTTCTGAGTTTGTTTTTAACTGGTCTATATGTAGTAGCAGAGGTGAATTTGTTAATTGCAAAGGTCATGACACAGGTGTGTAGTTGTTTATTCTAGTTGATGATTATAAAGATAGCATGCAATGTGGATGGTATTTACGGAAGTGTGTCGTATGTCCATTTCCTTATGATAGGGAGGTGCAAGGTGGATATGCTATAAATTTTTCTTCAAGTATGACAATATGAGATTGAAATATGCATCAGACTAGGGCTTGCTGCCGCTAAATCCCAATAAGTCCAACAATTTGTTTCTTTTGAAAACTACTATAACCAAGAGTGTGCTCCCAATCTGTTGTTTATTCATGAGTTTCAATTGAAAACTACAATTTGTTTCTTTTGCTGCCATCTTATTTTCTTTTATTCATCAGTTTATCAGTTTTATTTTCAGTTTA